TGTTTGTTTTTACAGTACTGGGGCTTGAACTCAAGATCTACACCTCAGGTCACTCCACCAGCCCTTTTTTGTGAAGGGTTTTTTGAGATAGGGTTTCACGAACTATTTGCCTTGATCCTCCTGATCTCTGCCTCCTGAGTAGCTAGAATTCCAGGCGTGAGCTACTGGCACCTGGCTAAAATAGATGTTTATTATGCTGAGGGCAGCATCAAAAATCAATCACAAGCCAGGCACTGGTGGCTCACACCTGTAATCCTAGCTACTTGGGAGGCTGTGTTTGAGAGGATTGCAAATTGGGCCAACCCAGGCAAATAGTTCACAAGACTCCCATTTCCAAAAAAAAAAAAAAAAAATGGACTGGAGGTTGGGCTCAAGCAATAGAATACCTGCTTTGCAAGCATGTAGCCCTGAGTTCAAACCCAATGCCCCCCCACACACATAAAAAAAATCACAGTAATTCACTATATTAACAGAATTAAGATGGAAAAAACACACAATCCTCCCAAGTGATGCAGAAAAAAAAAGCATTTGACAAAATTCAAATAGGGCATGACAGTACACGCCTGTAATCCCAGCACTTCAGAGGCTGAGACAGGAGGATTAAGAGTCAGAGGCCAGCCTAGACTACATAATGAGATCTTGCCTCCAAAACCAAACAAATAAAATTCAATACCCATTTATGATTTTTAAAAAATTCAATAAATTAGGAGCAAGAGGAAACTACCTCAACATAATAGAAGCCATATATCAAAAGTTAACTGTGCATTTCATACTCAATAAACACGAGGTGTTTTTCTTCTAAGATTAGAAACAAGACAAAGGTAGCAGCTCACTGCTTCTATTCAACATAGTATGGGAAGTTCTAACCAGAATTTTCAGCAAGGAAAGGAAATAAAAGGCACACAAATCAGATCAGAAGAAGTAAAATGATCTGTTTGCAGATGATGTGATCTTATATAGAAAACTCAAAAGGTTCCATGAAAAGAAAAATGGGGAGGGCAAAGGAGATTAAGGTGATGGTATATGGTTGATGGACTTCACATACCTATATGAAACGGAACTAAGAAACCTCTTGCAATTGCTTTAAGTGGAGTGGGGAGGGGATTGACAGGGACAGATGATGGGGGATGGGGGGTTCACACGTGTAATCCCAGCTACTCAGGAAGCAGAGATGAAAGGATCTCGGTTTAAGGTCAACACAGGTAAAAAGTTGGTGAGATCCCCCTCCATCTCAACCAATAAACTGGACATGGTGGTATATGCCAGTAATCACAGCTAAGCAGGAAGTCATAAGTGGGAGGATTAAAATCTAAACTCCACCCCAGGCAAAAACTCAAGACACTATCTGAAAAAAAACTACAGCAAAAAAGGGCTGGGTGCTGGAGGGTAAGGCTGAAATGTTTAGCAAGCATGAGGCCCTGAGTATAAACTCTAGTACTTAAGAAAAAAAACTTAAGCTAAACTAAATTCTGAAGTTAACCACTCAGAATCCTATGAAATACTGGAAAGGAGGAGGAACCTAAGTACAGTTCCTCACATACACAGCTCCTCCAAGTGCAGATTCTCCTCCTCTGTAGACCTGCCTCTTCTGTCCTGCCCTCCTCTGCACAGCCAGGGTGGGCCTGCCACAGGGGTACCAGTCCATGACAGTTCTGAAGTCCAGCTGGGCTCTGATAGGTTTTAAGGTCTGTGATTAATTCTCCATGACTTAGGCTCTGCCCTCTGAGCTCTCAGTTCTCCCCTCTTAGTAATTTTTTTTTTCATGGAAGAGAGCGAATGCTTGTAGCTACATGGTGCCTCCTTACAGTATGATTTTGGGGGTCCAAAGTTTCCCTTCACTCTGTAGTATCTCTGCTTTTTTAGCTCACACTGGTGATGTCTTCAGTGATATAATTCTTTCAAAACATCTGTGGACCCCTGTGATCTGACATCAACTCATTAGAGGAAAGACACCCAAAGTCTTTGAGATAAGCCCTTCTCCACCTTAGGCTCCTATGGTGCAGCTGGGGGCAAAGCTTTCTACTACTCCGTTGTGTATTGACAGGGACACACCTTAGTCTTTTTAAGAGACCTTCTGTGTGACTTGGAATACTACCACACTCGGAAGTCAGATCACCCCTGCATTTTCACGGACTTGTGGGTCAGCACCGCTCTGCAGGGGCCCCATAACCACATTAGCGGTGGAATACAATAGGCTGATGCTCTCACAGTCCTGGAAGTCAGGAGCCTTGCAGCGCTGAGCTCATGGCGTTATATGTCTCATGGCTGTAACGAGGGGGTCAGGGACAACTCTACACTCAACTAGGAAAGGATCCAGGTCCAGGCTCCCTCACATGGCTGCTGTCAGGTCTCAGGGCCTCAGTAGCTGACATCAGTGACATTAGTTCCTTGCCCTGTCCACAGGGCTGGTCACAGCATTGCAGTTTACTATTCCCAGAATAGGGACTCAGAGAAAGATCACAGGTGAGCAAGGCAGAAATTGGTCTTTTTTGGAGTGTAATCCAGGCAGTGACATCCCACCACTGTGGTCATCTGAGAATCCTTAAAAGAACTTCAGCAGGCCAGCCCACCCTCAGAGAAGAGTCCCTTGGAGCATGATTACCATGAAATTGGGGTCATGGGGCATCTTGGGCTGCCCACCACACAGACACAGTAGACCTCCACAAACCAGAAGAGAAAAGCAAAAACCAGCTGGCAAAAGGACCAGGCATTTCATAGAAGAGGAAAATAAATGTCGTTTGTCCATTCCAAAAGAATCCTCAGAATCCCAGAAATGTGAACAACGCACACAGAAGCCACAGCACACTGAGCAGAAGCAGTTGGCCCGTGCATGCCCAGAGCTGCAGAGTGTCACTCACCCTGCTTGTATGGAAGTTACAGCCACTCACCCCATCTGACACCCCTAGTTAAGGTAGCCATGCAGCCAGCGTCAAGAACTGGGAAGGGCTGTATTTCACCCCACCCACAAGTACACAAGTTAGCCAGTCAGCCCCACAGGTCCCTCATCTGGCCACAAGCCTGCAGGAGCAAAGCAGCCTAACATGAGGGCCTCTCTGCCGCTTGCAGATTCACTTTGAAATCACTTTGGCCTCTCTTGCCTCCACAGGAACTGAGGCAACATGAACCTCACCCACTGAATGTAAGAAGGCAAAGGGAATTCGGTGTGTAAATTTTATGGGAATCTGAACATGTATGTGCATACACACCCCCAAAGCTGCTTTGATCACACTCCTGAGAGCAGAGCAGCAAGCCATGTGGCCTTGCTTGACCAGTCAGCCAGGAACACCCCTGAGCTCTGGTGGAAACTTGGAACTGACTGGGAAGGTGGCGGGGGGGGGGGGGGTATCTGACTTATCTCAGGAATCCAATAGCAGAAATAGCTATCTAGGATTGTTTTCCTGGGTCCAGGCCTGGTATCCAGGGGTAGTGGGACCCAGGAATACAAGCCCTCTGCAAAGGACTCAGCACAGGCATATACAGAGTCAGAAGGCTGGGCATGGACCACCTAGCATCCAGTCCTGGCCAACTGTCAGGGCTGGGAACTAGATGACTTGTTCCCTGTGAACTTTCCCTGTACAGTCCAATCTTGCTTTTGCTCTGCTCCAGCTGGAGAACTGGCAGCTGTGACTAGATGCTGAGGCCAGGAAGGCACAGGACTTCCCTTGAGGGCTCTGCCAGGAGGAAGGAGAAAAGATCTGCAGGGTATCCCAAAGTAAGTATTCAGACCCAACCTGCCCCAGGAGAAAGAGGAGGAGAGAAAGGTGGACAGTCCCAGCCAGCCCTCTCCAAAGGCAAATCTGCAGCTAGGTTCTGAAACATGTTCAACATTAAGGAAAAATCTATCCTTCTATTAAAATATTACATACCATACAAATAAAACAAACAGAGCCCCTGTAATCATCGCCATATAAATAATCATTCTTTAACAATATTGACTATTTGAGGCGACGGGCATAGTGTTGACCTTCTATGGGTATTTTTAGAAGTTTGTTCAAATGATTAAGCTCCTAAATTTGAAAAACATGTCGCAGCTAGCAAGGTGAAACCTTTTAACTCATGTAAATATGTACAAACAGTGCTTTTCAAAGGTCAATTTTTTACTTTACCCAAGTATTTTTAAGCAAGAAAAATCTATTATGTGAAAACTGTACAAAAAAGATCCTTACATATTTTGCTTGTGTGTCAGTACCTATGCACTGTTAAGCCATTCAGGTATTCAGACAAAACATCTTCATCTGGCAAACAAGAAAAACATTGCCTCCTGACAGCGCTTTTGAATCCCCTAACCGCACCCCCCAAACAGGAGACGGGGTGCAGCTCTCTCTCTAGTTATCAACTTGTTTCCCGGACAATAACTCAAGCAAAAAGACAGCGACTGAAAACTTTAGGAGTTACAGACGCACACGTAAGTTAGAAAGATGCATATTAAAAATTACTCCATTTCTAAAGTAATTTTATTTCCAATGTACAGATGCAGAAACCAACTAGATGTCAATTACAAAGAGGCAGCCCTGAACTATCTTTGTGTGAGCACAGATGTCCCCTCCCGAACCGTATCCCATTTCCAGCCAACGCTGCGTAGGTCATAACTATATTTAGAAATACACGTTGAGGAAAAATCTTGCAGTGCTGTAAAAGAGAGGGAAACACGGGAAAACTTCCCGGAACTAAAAACTGAAGTCTTTAGTTCGCACTTCTCAATTCAAACGTGGGCGGCAACTTGGAACGTGCTAATTACAAAAACAAACAAAAAGTCCGGTAACGAATTCCAATCGAAGACTCAAAGGGCAGGACAGTACTTTCTCCATACAGGAAAATAATGCAATTTTTGGTTTCTGCTTGTAGCACTGTCAGAGGTAAACAAAGTTGCAAAGCTTTTGCAAATACCGAAGAAAGACAGCTTGAAGCAGGATTTTGCGTTAACATATCGAAGTAACCACTTGTTTCCGGTTTGGTAACTTTGTTTTAAAAGGCACTGAGTAAGAACACGGAGCTTCAGAAGTCACCCAGGGCGGCGATCGCGTAAGATTCGGCCGTTGCGCACTAGCCAATGAATCTCTCGGACGGCCACGTATCCTGGGCGTTGGCGGGGATGCGCGGAGCCTCCTGCTGCGGCGGGGCCAGGGCCTCCATCTCGCGCACCACCTGCGTGAACACGCGGTCCACCATCATCTTGCTCTTGGCCGTGACCTCCAGGAACGGGCAGCGCCACTCGCGGGCCAGCGCGCGGCCCTGCGCCGTCAGCACCTGGCGCTCGGCGTCCAGGTCGGCCTTGGTGCCCACCAGCACCAGCGGGACGGCCCGGGACCCCCGCAGCCGGCCCATGCGCTCACGCAGCGGCCGCACCGCTTCGAACGAGGCCTCGTTGCACACGCTGTAGAGCACCACGAAGCCGTCGCTGTTCCGGATGTACAGGTCCTTGAGAGTGACCAGGTGCTCGGCGCCCACCGTGTCCACGATCTCCAGCAGCGCGGGCGCCGCGTTCACCTCGATCACTTTGCTGAACAGCTCTTCCACCGACGACTCGCAGTGCTCGGGGAAGCGGCCGCACGCGAACTGCGTGGCCAGCGCCGTCTTGCCCACGGCCACGCTGCCGAGCAGCACCACCCGGTAGCCCTTGGCTGGGCGCAGCACCAGGCCTGCCATGGCCGGGACGCGAGGGGACGCGGGGCGCGGGGAATGGCGCGCGGGGGCGGGGTGGAGGGGAGGGCGGGCAGGGGGCGGGGCGGGGTGGAAGGGGGGCTCCCGAAGGGCGGGCGCACACCCTCTGGAAAGGGAGGGGTGGGCGTCTTCACTCTGGCCTGTACCCGCTACCTCCCCACCTGGATCTGACTCGGCGTTTGGAGGTTCACCTTCTACTTCCCGCCACAGACACGGGGGTCTCTGCGCCGCGAGTCCCTCCGCCTCTAGCCTGCTGAGCTCCTCTCCAGTCTCGCTCCGCCCCGCCCGGGCGTCCTGGCTGCGGCTGGCCCTACCAGCCCCTCCTCCAGGCCTCCCTCCCCTATGGTAGGTCCCCCAGAGCTGCCAGGCCCTGCCCGATCTTCCCCCTCATGCCCCGCCTGATGACCAGCTGGGGCCCCTTAGTCAGTCCCTGGGCGGGCTCTACTTACTTGGAAGCCCCTCTGTGTGCCGACCAGAAGGTAACCTGATCCCTTCCAGGCCAACCCAGGAAATGCAGGGATTTCTCCAGCATTCCAGATGCCGAGATCCGCATAGACAGAGCTAGGCTGCCCACTCAAGGTCAGGCCTAGCTAGGCCGCACAGCTGGGGCTCCTTCAAGCAGGGAGGACCCCAGGCTCAAGGGCAAGTGAAGGGGGTGCCTGCCAGGGACCTTCACACTGAGGGCTCCAAGTGCCTTGTGGAGTCGTACACACACACACACACACACACACACACACACACACACACACACACACATCTACTCCCCCCATCTCTGGCGGGCTCTCCAATCTCTTCTCCCTGAGCAGAGCTCAGGGGATCTTTATAAAATGTAAATCATGAATTCTTTCCCACCCAAACCCTCCTTTAAGTGTCATCCTGGTAAAGTCAAGACTTCTCACCATGGCCTAACAGTAGAGTGATAACTTAATTCGCCATCCAAACCAGGTCACTTGGAAGTGAAAGAGTGCACCCAACAGCAGACAGAAACCTGGGAAGCCCTGGGCAAAGTCAGTGGAGTCACCCTACGTGTGAAGAAGGTGCTCAGAGTTCTGATTTCCTCTTATTACTCCTTGGTTTCAGAGGAGGAAGGCTGGGTGGTGGGACAATGGGGGCTAGGTTTGTCTTCCTGAGTAAACTGCAACCCTCTGCCTCTAGCAAGAGCAGCTACCTTTCCCAGGCAGCCCTGGTCCAGGCAGGGCCCCAGAACCCCGCTGCACTTGAGTTCCCTGCCTCCAGGGCAGCAGAGGCTCCGGTGAGATCTAAGTGCCCACAGAACACATCTTGCGCAGTGGAGTTTGTGGTTGGTCACTGAGTGTGCTTTTCTACAAACGGTGCATAGAACATCCTCAACAGAACAATGTGATTTCTAAACAGAAACCTTACAAGACATTCTAGGGCTGCGAGGTAGTAAAACTAGAAGTCAATGTGAAAAATGGGTAACTGCAAGCATTCCCTGGAGAAATGCAAGTTAAAGCCAGGTTTCAGCAACTTCCCACAGATGCTTTTGAAGGAACGCAAGCGATTCGCAGTCAGAACTGTTACAAAACATACAGGAAAGTATCAATGTGACAAGAGCCATCAGAAACCCGTGACGACACAATCACATCCAGCAAACTGCAACATTGGCATTGTCAGACATAAAATACTTACATTTTATGTGTTTAAAGAAATTAAAAAGGAAGCTTAAAAGTAACAGCAACCAACAAGAGACTATGAAGTAACTTGAAAGAGATCTCACCAAAAAAAGTTCTAGTACTGGCTGTGTGATTCAAGTGGCAGAGCACCTGCCTGGCAGTCCAAGGATCTTGAGTTCAACCCCCAGTACCACACACAAAAAAGAAAGAAGAAAGTTTTAGAATTGTAATGTAAATTTCCATTTTAATTAATATACCATGTCCATTGGTAGGCATGATATTATGATATAAGAAATATACATTTGTGGCTTAAGCCATGGGGGGTGGGCAGGGAGGGGCTTGCCCAGGAAGGGTCAGGAAGCTGGAGCTTGGGAGGCCCAGAGCATGTTTTCCAAAAAACCAGCCTTTGTAGGAGCCACCATCACCACCAGATGTGTGTGTGTCCGGAAATACAGTCACCACACTACCTAGACCCCACACTCTGACTTCCCCTGAAGGCCTGCAGGGCAGGAGCAGTACCCTAACAGTGTAGCCTGCTTCCCCTGCAAACATCCATGCTTCTTAGCCTCAAATCCCCCAGCCACCAGGAGCCCGAATCCCACCGTCCTCCCCCATGCCCCATAACTTCCACCAGCTACAGCCCATGTTGGTCCAGTTGGTTCTAAATCCTCAGATTCAACCAACCCCAGATCAAAAATACTTGGAAAAAAAATTGCATCTGTACTGAACATGCACAAATTATTTTATTCTGTCATTCCCAAAACAATACAGTATAAGGACTATTTACATTGTATCAGGTTTTATAAATTATCTAGGGATAATTCTAAAGTATACCAGAGGATAGGCATAAATTATATTCACCAGGCTGGTGAAGTGGCTCAAGTGGTAGAGCACCTGCCTAGCATGCAAGATGCCCTGAGTTCAAACCCCAGTACCGTAAAAAAGAAAAAATATGTATATATGTATATATATTCAGCACTACACTACATCATGTGTAATACAAGAAACGAGCATGCAAAGAGGTTCTAGAACCAATCCCCCAAGAACCGAGGAATGACTGTATAACTATAATATATATATCTACATATATTTGAAAGAAATTAACATTTGATCTTTATCCTGGTTTCTGACACAAGAGGATCCAAACCCTTGGGATTTCTGAGTGATGAAATGAGCAACACCCCCTTTCGGTCATGCCTGCACTTCCAGTGACGAGGTGAGAGGAGCCCGCCCCGCTCACTTCAGGATGTGGCTGTTTGCCAGAAGCATAATCTACAAGCTGGAGGCTGGACCTTCCGGTCCCACCCTGGGCCTCAAGTTCTAACTTCCACATTGCTAAAAGATCGTGAGTCTGTCAGTAGCCCCTGCAGTCTTCCTCCACCCCAGCCAGCTCTTATTGAAGGAGTTGCACTAAACTGGCTACTGTTTCCTAAGTGAGATAATTATATTATAGAAATATAAAATTTGGATGGAGACATGCACACAGGGAGAACACCATGTGAGGATGGAAGCAGAGCTGGGGGTGCTGCTTCTCCAAGCTAAGGAAGCGGCTGGGACTGAGCTAACTGCCAAAGGCAGCAGTTGTTCAAGCATGCCTGTGTGCTGGGGCCTGAAGAGCATGGAGAACTTCTGGATTGAACGTATCCACATGGCGAGAGAGTGGCACACACTATCTTCTAGGCCCCAGGGGCAGAAGATCCTGCTCTAGGGATCCTTGCAGACCTTGCCCTGTGCACGTCCTCGTGTGACTGTGCGTTAAGCTCCTTTATAATCAACTGGTAACAGAGTGCATCCCTGAGTTCCATGAACCTTCACGGCACGTGGCTGTGGCTAGGCGTGTGGGAGACCTGGACTTGCCATTTGTTCTGAATTGAGGGGCAGTATTGTGGGGTTGAGCTTCTAATCCATGGGAACTGCACCGCCTCTGGGAAGTTAGTCAGAGCTTAGTCAGAACCAAGCCACAGAACACCCAGATGGTGGGGAGAGTTGGAGCACTGGCTGGTATGGACCCTCCTCTCCCTGCATTTGTTGTCAGAGGAGTGTTTTTCTTAGCTAGGTTAAGCAGTAGTTTAGACACAGCTAAACAGAGAAATAAAAAACAACATCACTCAGAGTTTTGAATAATCCTGGGGCTGGTTTTCAGCAGCAGCTGCCCAGTATTGTGGAAGAGATAGGGACATCCCTATTGCCAGGAAGGCTTTAGGGCAGCTATAGACTATCTCAAATTGACAGTTGGCTGCTTTGAGCCTGATATCAGTAATTTTTGAGGCTTTTAAAGCCATTGATAAAAGCTGGCTAACCCCACAGTCCTTATTACTACTACCTCAGTGCAATTGAAGTATCACCCCTAGCATAGCGACCCAGGCTTCCCCTTCTACCTGTACTACACCCCAACCCACAGGTGAGCCACTGAACTGCGCTGCAGGCTGAGGCTCACCCAGAGCTGACAAGGGCCTCATGATGGGGCCAGAAGGTTGTGTGATTTCTCCTGGAATCTGCTCTCTAGAGTCACTTGTAGTAAGTACTAAGTCTCCCATTCAGTGTTCCCTCCAAATCCAGAATCTCTCCAGGGCAAGTCATTTGTGTTTGGAAGTGGCCTCGGGGACTATGAATGGGGACCCTGGGAGAGTAAAGGGAATGGCATGGAGGATTGAATACCAGAGTGCATTTCTAGTTGGGCACTGGGGTAAAATGCACCCAGGAATTGCCCACTGAACAACCAGGAGAGAGGCACACTCAGCTGCCGGCAGCCAAACAAACACCCTCGTGCATTTGTGCATGCGTGCCAGACTGTGGAAGCCTCCTGCAGAAACCTCCAGGTGGCAGCAGCACAGAGTAGAGCTAGGGCTGGGACCACTCTTGCATGGCCAGCTACTGGCCACTACAGCCAAGACCAGGGCTCAAGGGTGGCTCAGTGTATATGTGATTAGAGCACAAGAGGCTACAGACCCACTGCTTACTGTCTGAAAGTACCTCATTATTTGGGGGCTGAGGCATCATATCTGCCAACAATGAAGAGGTATGGTTCTTACTTCCCTTACTTGCTTTAGCTACACTCTGCAAAGCAAAAGCAAGCATCCCCCTTCAATTCTGACTACTAGAAACGCCTTTGTGTGACACCACTAATGGGATGCATCCTGTTGATGCCAAACAATGTTCTCTATGGCACAGAATGTTTTAGTCTATTTATAGCTTAGAGTTTTTAATTGTGAATGTCTACTGATTTTTTTTTTTTTCCGGCACTGGGGATTGAACCAGGACCTCAACTTGCTAGGCAAGCGCTATACCACTTGAGATACGCACCCAACCCTTTTTGTTTCGATTTTGTTTTTGAGTTAGGGTCTTCCTAACTTTGCCTGGGCTGGCCTCTAACTTTTGATCCTCCTGCCTCTGCCTCCTGAGTAGC